CATAATATCATAAGAGTCTGATGAGATACAGGTAAGAGCCTCTAAATCATGAATTTTATTCCTAATACTCCTGGCGTTTAAATACAGACAACAAAGGGTAGGCCTATTACAGTGCCTACTTATAATATGATTTTTTGGGGCTTTCCGTTTCCCCCCAGTTACATACTTAACTAACCTCCCTGCCCCCCCCAGTCCCTAGTTTAAACATTCCTCAACTACTCTACAAATACGCCTTCCCAGTACACTGGTTCCCCTCCGGTTAATTTGACATTAAAGGGGCTTTTTTTGTAATTTTTTTTTGTCAAAAAGGCCAAATTATGTTGATCATGATTGATTTAGAAAAGGGTAAAACATCCAAGGGGGTGAATACTTTTCATAGGCACTGTAGCTGCAAAGGGGGGACCATCTCCATATTGATGCCTATGGATTTAGAACGGGATTCATAAAAGTTCCAGTAGGTATATTTGCCAGGTCTCAATACTTTTGTCCATATAGTGTATATAGTTTGAACAAATACACAACTGACAACATTTAACTTCTAACAAAGTACTTTTAATGGAATCGGTATTTAAAACTGTAGCTTAAAAGACTCAAAAAATAATAAATTATGTACATATATAAACTTCATACTAACAATCTTAAATTCTGGTTCTGGAGGGTTTCACTGTGTACAGGTTTTGAATCCGCAGCTCAGTGAAGCCAAATGACTTGGTATTTCAATGCCCTTGTTGCACATGGCCAATAAAAATCTTGAATCTTGATATTGTTGTCATTCTACTTTCAAATTAGCAAGGCTAATAATTATTAAAAGATATCTAGGAAACCTGAATATACTCGTGCCCCTACAGAACCAGGACTGAACATTTCTGGAAACTTAATTTGAAGGCTTCAGTTCTGTGTTTGATACACCCTGCAATACCTTATGGCATAAGAGGGTAATGAAACAGTGAACTTCTTGGTCTGTCATTTTATTCTACATTTATAACTGCTCCCCCTTCTGTCACTACCAGACTGATGGAGGACAATCCTAGACTTCACAGCTGCAGTGATCTCTTCATATGTTCTAATGCTCAGTAATGGCACTGACACCTCCCTTAAGATGCTTTGCTCATCTGACGCTCCTGCTTCCGCTGCAGGTACCGTGATCGGGCTGCTGACACAGAGTCTTCGCTGTTCCTGCGTTCCAGCTTCTTCAGCGCATCTTCAGTAGCCACTCCTGCGGAGATCAATTAACCACAGGCCTTCTGAATATCTGAAAGTGCTGTACAGCCACCAGCATATACATAACTAGATTTGAACAGCTCATCAATTCAATAAAGATGCATCCCATCCACGGTGCACCCCAGCCTTGTCCCCTGTGCTTCCTGGGATGGACTCCGGCCCCATGACCATGACCAGAATAAGTAATTAGAAGATGGATGGATCAATTTAACAAATAAGACCATTTTTAAAGCTCCAAACACATAGTGCTTCAATCCTACTGTTTATTATTATTTGCAGTTTGCCCTAAAACTAAACAATGAGCAAGATCCTAAGGCAGAGAGAGAACAAATTAGGTGGATTAGGTGCAGTGTGCCATATGGCCTGAAGGTGGTGCAATAGCACAACCATTTATGTTTCAGCCCATACCATGAGTGGTATAGTTAAAAATATTTTCCACAAATTGCTTGGCTTGCGTGAAACAAAACCGCAATACACACCTGTCTACTTAGATCTTTTGCTAATCTGCAGTTCCATCTTTTTTATTTAGTCCTCACCTCTTTTGAGAGCTTCCTTAGTCTCCCATTTGGTTATTTCTTTATCTGTTACTTCTTCCCGGGCAACACTGCTCAGCTCGTGGGCTTCTACCTCATGTAGCTTAGGCAGCAAGTCCTTCACCCACTCGTAACGGATTGGACACACCGTCCTTACATATATTCGAGAAGTGACTAGGACATCATGGAAGAGGATCCACTCCAGTTTGGCCTCCTGTTCAAACAGCTTAAAGAACACCAGGAATCCTATTAGATCAATGGAATTCATATTCCTTATAGCACTGAGGGAGTGGTCCTTACAGTTGATGATGGGTGAATGTGAACAACAGACCCATGTCCATCCATCGTACTGAATGTCCTCCCTACTGACCTAGTGAAGAACAACAAAGACTTGTACTTCAGTAACATAATTTTTTGATGTGTATGATGTTGCATGTTGCTCAAACATACATTAAACAGCAGTTTTAAGTTGTGAGGCTGCACACAAAAGAATAGGACATATAAATAAAATCAGTGTACTAGAAGCACAGAAATTAGATACATACAAGTAAAGAATAGATACATTTCTACAACAAATATCATCATGAAGAAAACAGCCATCATTTTTAATATTCAATACTTATGTTCTTACCTCCTAGCTACATTGGCAAAGTATCCTGAGCACAGACATCTCCGTAAAAGTTCACTCCGATGACCATCAAACTTCTCCACTGGAAAATCTGGATTCTGCAAATGCATAAGATTAACAAAAGAAATTAATACAAAATTAAAGTTTAAGTCCATCTAAGTGTGAATGGTATAGAACAGCACGTGCTGATTGAAAATGCCTGATTGGATGGTCACCTGTTTGAGACGGGTGAGAATCTCTGTCAACTGCTTTTCAACACTGAAAGCCATCTTTATTGCTCTCCAGTGGATCCAGTTCTCTCGACACCATGCTGATGGCGATTCACTTCCCAGAGGAAAAAAAAAGAAAACAAATCTAACTGGATAAGGCTGACAAATAGAACTTAAATGCCAGACTGAATGTGGCCATTAAATGGAGTGCACTACTCAGAAATTACTGTTTGCAAGAAACATCCTACTTAATTTGTACTTACTTAACTAGTGATGAAATGGGGAAAAATACATTTAAGCTACCAGTACCTGGCTCTGCACTTCTCAAATACACTGAGCAGGACAGCAAAGTCATTACTACTGCCAGCCTCTGTAGCCAACTGCTTGTGTTTCAATTCTGCCTCCTGCTGCTTCTCTGGATGACCTGTAGGTGGCACCACACATAGGGATTCTGTTCCTCTGTATATCCAAAAACAAAGACCGTAATCCTGTTCCAAAAATCACGCAAGACACTGTCCATAAAGACAAAATCAAAATATAAAATGGATGATACAAAAATGAATGTGGTTAACTCTAGTCACTCCTAAAAACAGTAAACCTAACAGTCTATTTTAGTATAACATCCGAAATATTGATAAATTCAAATATTATGGTTAAAAACCATATGTAAGATCAGTCTGTGTCGAGTGGATAATTAGTAAAATAGTAAAAGTAAACAACTTCCATTTCATTACCAACTAAATCTCTGACAATTAAAATGTCTCACTAATATAAAAATGCAATATAAAAATGATGTACAAGTATAATGATGTTCACTCTTTAATGATCGAGGTATCTAGTGTAGTGTTTCCCAACTCGGTCCTCGGGGATCCACAGCCGGTCCACGTTTTTACTCTCTCCCAGCTCCCAGTCCACATGTGGACTGTCTGCAGGTCCCTGAGGACCAGGATGGGAAAACACTGCTCTAGTGCAAAGAAAGGACTTGAATTGTAGCAGAGTATGGAAAAAACAAATAACTGATTTACATATTCTAAATAAATACATATTTTTGTCTGCTGCTTCCGTTTGAGAATCAGCAGATATTTTTACGTGGCCAGTGACAGTCACCTGGCCGTATGAAGATGTTCTCCACAGACAGCATGGCAGCCACAGGAAGCAGCAGCTCCTCGCACTGGTGCGCAGCAGCCTTCAGCAGCACTCGAGTAAGGTTAGGGGGGAGCGGAAACTCCACTATCAGTTGCCCGAACCTCGTTACTTGACCCCTCCTTCATAAACACAGGAAAAGGCAGATAATTAAGATATTTGCCGCTTCAAAATATCAATTTGTCAGAAAAAAACAAATCACACAGACATATACATCACCCAACTGAATGTGCATAACATGCGATGTTGGTATTAATATTGCACATCATCCAGCCCTATAATATACTATAGCAATTTTTTTAATCCAGTACAAAATACCCCGCCTCACGTTGTGATGTCATTCAGCACTGGTACCAGTTTTTACACCAGTGGAAAACTAACATTTTGAAATACTGAACTTTTGGTACTTTTCCAAAGCATTTACAAATCAAAGTATTTGTAACTCTTGACTCTTTCACTGACCGTATACCAATTCCTTGCTCACCAAAAAGGAATATTGATAAACAAGTGACTATCTTTCATTAAACAGTCTGATCATGTGAAAGGATCAGTTGTATGTTATAATAAAACATATACTACAGGCCAGAAATTTGGCCCCACCTTCCGATTTTTAATACATTTGTTTACATAAATTCTCAAAATGAAAACATTCAGATTGAAACAACTTTCAATATCCATCCACACATTGCTATTAACCTGTCTTATCTGATGACACGGGACATGCTAAGCTGTCTGCAGCTACGTCTTACGTTTTTTTTAAGGCTGCTTAATATGCCTCTAGGACTTAAGTATTTCTAATATTTTCTTGCAATAAAAGTTTGACAAAGCAGTGTATCGTTTTTTTTTTTGTTTTTTTTTTTAAATGTGGGTGGGCCCCTCCATGAATCACTACCTTATCGTGATGAAGGGGTTTGTGTGCCTCCATGATCCTAGTAGCAACGCTGTCGGGGGCAACTGCCCCTGGTAGGGTCTCTCAAGGCAAATTGGTTCTAGGTGAGCGGCCAAGCTAAGTGCGATTCAGAGCACCCCATGAAGAAAAATAAAATAGTGGATAATGTTGTCCCATCCAGATTGGGAAGACTGGGGCTTTCCCCTGGAGCAATACCTAGGACGGGAGCTCAAAGGCAAGCGCCTGGTGGCCGAGCCTCCACCCATTGCACCCGACCAGACGTAACCCGAAAAAATAACATGGGTCTGCCCTCCTGAGGGCCCCGATGGGGGTCAGGTGCAATGTAGATTGGGTGGTAGTCAAACGCAGGGGCCTTGGCAGACCAGTCGTCAGTGGCCAAAACTAGCTCTAGGCACATGGAACGTAACCTCTCTGATGGGAAAGGAGCCCGAGCTGGTGCAAGGTAGAGAGATACTGACAAGATATATTCGGGCTCACCTCAATGCATGGCTCAAACTCTGGGACAAAACTCCTGGAGAGGGGCTGGACTCTATTCCACCCTGGAGTTGCCCATGGTGAAAGGTGCCAGGTGGGTGGGGGCTACTAATAGCCCCCCGGTTCAGTGCCAGTGCATTGGAATTTATTCCAGTGGATGAAAGGGTCGCCTCCGTTCAACTTCGTGTTGGGGAAAGGGCTCTGATGGTGGTCTGTGCATACGCCAGTTCTTGGAAGCTTTGGAGGGAGTGCTGGAAGGTGCCCCCGTTTGGGGACTCCACTATTCTGCTGAGGGACTTTAATGCTCACGTGGGTAATGACAGTGAAACCTGGAAGTGTGTGATTAGGAGGAATGGCCAGCCTGATCGTATCTGAGCGATGATCTGTTATTGGATTTCATAGCTTGTCCATAATGAACACCATGTTCATAAGTGCACCTGGCACCAGAGCACCCAAAGATACGTGTCAATGGATCTGCGTCTATATGTTTTGGACACTCAGGTGAACAGAGGAGCAGAGCTGCCAACTGATCACCACCTGGTGGGGAGATGGATCCGATGGTGGGAGAAGATGCCAGATAGACCTGGTAGACACAAATGTAAATTGAGGGTGGGCTGGGAGATTCTGGCGGAGGCCCCGGAAGATCTTCAACTTACACCTCCAACAGAACTTCTAATGGGTCATGTTTTGGGACTCCATTGCTGAGGTGGCATTGTGGAGCTGTGGTTGTAAGGTGGTTGGTGCCAGATGCATTAGCAATCCCTGAACCCGGTGGTGGACACCAGCGATAAAGGGAGCTGTCAAACCGAAGGAGGAGGCCTTCCGAGCTTGGTTGGCTTGTGGTACTCCTGAAGCAGATGAGAAGTAGCGGCAGGCTACGTAGGAAGTGCCTCTGACGGTTGCTGAAGCAAAAACTCTGGTGTAGTAGTAGTTCAGTGAGGCTATGGAGAAGGACTTTCGGTCGGCCTCGAAAAGGTTCTGGCAAACCATCAGGGGACTCAGGAGGGGGAAGCAGGGCTTCACCAGTGCTATTTACAGCAGGGATGGAGAACTGCTAACCTTGACTGGGGATATAGTCAGGCAGTGGAAGGAATATTTTGAGGATTTCCTAAATCCCAGTGATACGCCTTCCTTGGAGGTAGAGCTGAAAGACTCGGGAGGGGGGACATGCCCATCTCTGGGGTTGAGGTCACTGAAGAAGTTAAACAACCACTCAGGATACTGTATCACTCTGATTTGGTGAAGATGGCAAGCCAGAAGCAAAGCTCTCAATTTACCAGTCGATCTACATTCCTACCCTCACCTATGGTCATGAGCTCTGGGTAGTGACTGAAAGAATGAGATCGTGGATACAAATGGCCAAAAAGTCTACAAGATGTCTGGGTTCAGCCTTAGGGATGAGGAGCTCAGACATTGGAGAAGGGCTCAAAGAAGAGCTGCTGCTCCTCAGTGTCGAAAGGAACCAGATGAAGTGGTTCAGGCATCTGTCTAGGCTGCCTCCTGGATGGCTCCCTGGGGAGGTGTTTCAGGCATGCCCAACCAGGAGGAGGCCCCAGGGCAGACCCAGGACACACTAGAGAGATAATATCTCTCAGCTGGCCTGGAATGGCTTTGGGTTCCCCCTGGTAGAACTGAAGGAGGTGGGTGGTGAGAGGGAGGTCTGGGCCAACCTCGGATAAGTGGCGGAAAACGGATAGATGGATTATATTAATTAATTTGGATTATATGTTTATTCATATTGTCAGGTAAAAATAAACTTTCTTTCCTATTCCTGTTGTCAAATAAGTAACAGGAAATTGGACTGCTCCACATTAGTAGTATGTTGGGGTAATAGTGGAGTTTTAACGTTTTAACATTTTGGTTCATAATTATATTGATTTTGTTGAGTAGTGGTGATACATTTTGACATTTGGTTTATTTATTGTCTCGTGATTTACTTATATTTGGTTGTTTAATGCCTTTTCCCCTTGTTTGACGATTTGGTCAAGTCTGTGTGTATACATACCTCTGTGTTGTTTTGTGAATTGCTAGATGTTTGTTAGTTTGTCAGTTCTTTTGCCAGCTTAAGTTTATTTCTGATAGTTTGGTTTTGAACTAAAAGTATATTTTTGTTGTGTGATTTTTGAAAATATTTGTAATAAAAAACCTTTCCTTTAAAAACTTCCCTGTGTCCTGAAGCTTGGCCCCTCACATCATGTGTTTCAATTTTGGGGCAATCGAACTCAAAATTTGATAACTTCCAGTTTGTCACCAAATAACACTAACATATAGTAAATGCAGCAATGAGTTAATAAATACACAGTCAAAACAGAGTAGAGTACTTACTGTACCAGAATCAATTCAGTCATGTGTTGCTTAATCACAGGGAGAGGTTCTCAGAAATTAGTTGTTAGGTGATTTCGTTGTTGTGTGAACATCATAAAGTGTACTTACACAAACCTATATGGTACAGCCTACTACACACCTAGGCTATATGGTATAGCCTAAATAATGATACAAAGCACAGTATAGTAAATACATAGACTGATAATTATCATTATCAAGTATTATGTACTGTACATAATTGTATGTGCTGTACTATTGACTGGCAGCCAGTGGTGGAATGTAACAAAGTATTTGTACTTTGTTATTGTACTTAAGTACATTTTTACGTATCTGTACTTAATTAAAAATAATAATGCATACTTTTTATTTTACTCCATTACATTTTCCGGCAACCATCTGTACTTTCTACTCCACTACATTTCTACAATTTATGCAGTTAGTCATTACATTTTATGAACACAATTTCCTCAAAATCTTCCATGAAAAAATAGTTAGCCTATTGCGTTCTGGCGTTGTTTGCCATTTCCTACCAATCAGGTGGCTTTATTAGCTCCAATGATGGCAGAGCGCGCGTCAATTAGCTGGTAGACTGGCTTGATTTCAAGAAGACGAGACATTCAACATGGACTCATTCAACATGGTTTATCTTAATGGTATATTAGTGGGTAATACCTAGTAGATAACTTGTCATCCACGTAATTCTAAGTTAGGGTACACACAGTATTGCAGAGTGCACGCACAATAAGCACACCAAACTTTCCAATAAACATATACTGTATAGTTCCTTGTAATTATTATGAGCAATGACATCGGTAGAGGCGTCAGTATATCTACTATTCTTTTACAAAATGGTACACCCGAGACATTGAGACAAACCATTGTGTGAGTACTTTTACTTAAAAAAATACTTTCAAGTAAATTTAAAAGTACTTAGTACTTTCACTTAAGTAAGATTGTTGATGTAGCACTTCTACTTTTACTTGAGTATATATTTTGCAGGATATTTGTACTTTTACTTAAGTACTAAGCTTCAGTACTTGCTCCACTACTGCTGGCAGCACAGTATGTTTGTTTACACCAGCATCACCACAAACGTGCGAGTAATGTGCTGTGCTATGACATTATGACAGCTATGATGTCACTAGGCGATAGGAATCTTTCAGCTCCATTATAATTTTATAGGACTAATGTAGTATATGCAGTCCATCGTTGACTGATAATAGGTGATGTTGCTGCCATGTTTTTGAAATTAATTTTTGTCTATCCTGAAGTACCACTTGGAACAGTCATTGTGAAGTGGAAGTTTTTTTAAAATTGGATGTGTCCATGTATTTCAATTTTGGAGCGATAAGTCTCAAAATTAAATCACTTCCAGTTCATCCACCCATACAATGCCGTTGCAAAGTTTGACAAAGATCCATCAACATACCATCCATCCACACAATAAGACTAGGGTTGATACACACCTGTCAATGGCATCACACTGGTACAGCTGTTTCAAAGCAGCCAAGATAAACTTCTCCTCTGGGTGGTCCAAGTATGGAAATCTTAAGAGTAAAGAGATTAATAAAAATTAATAAAGAAAAAAAAATTGTATAAACATGAATCAATAAAAACTTGAAACTATTTAATGTCAATATTTTTATATGACATTAAATTTAGATCTTGGCATTTAAAATTTATATTTCATTTATATATCCATTCTTATAGCATTTTCTGAAAATTTCAGATGTTTTCAAATGGGAAATTCCAGATTAAGATTATCAGAACTAAAAGACCAAAACTAGTTTTTGAGGCTCTGAAGATCTTGACAAACGTCGAAGCAAATTTATAGAAAATTGAACTCCATTTAATAGAAAGAAGAAAAGCAGATCATTTTCATTTTTAAAAAGTCATTCCATCTCAGAGCTAGTGTGAATGATTTAAACACCTGATGACATCATGGACTCCTAGGCACTTTAGGGTGAGGATGACCATGGTCAGGCTGGTCCTCTGGACCTCTGGAACAGTGTAATCTGGCATGCATTTCTCCCAAAATTCCCTGCTATATATCCTAAAGCATTTTCCAGATGAGGTTCTGCCAGCCCGTCCAGCTCTCTGCCGTGCCTCGCTCCTGCAAAGCAGAGTCTTTCTTATCAACTGTGCAAAACCAGTAAACTTCAGACGTGAGAAAACATTTGTAAACCATCTGAAATTACTTGAATTCTTGCACATAAGGCTCCTAACATGTGATCTGAATTTCAACAAAGGGATAAAATTCTTTACAAAACATTGCAAACATTTCACACTATGATAAAGCTTTAAATAAAGGTGTCTATTCGCCCATGCACTTAAGTCAAAAAAGCACTTAGCTGTGCACTTTTTTTTTTTACTTAATCATATTCTCCCATCTACTTTAGTGCAGGGTTTAAGTGCACTTAGGTTAGATACATACTTTGGATGGAGAAACACCAAAGTATGGACTTGTTGCATGTAAATGACTCTTAAGCACATTCTGCCACTGCCCTAAGTGCATTTTTCACTATGTGCTCTGGAGGGCTGTATTAGAAAATGCACTACTACATGGCCAAACGCAATATTGCAGTTTTCAGAGAGTCAAACATGTAAAACAAAACAAAACTTTCTAACGTATCATAGGTTTAGAAACAAATGTTAAGACTCCAAAACTCAAGTGAATAATTTTTATAATTAAAGAATTACATAAAATTATTGAACACAATAGTATATTGGGCAGTGTGTGGCTCAGTGGGCTACGCCTCTGTGCCTGCGATTGGCAGAAGAGTCACATCTGTGGGCCCTTGAGTAAGGCCCTTAACCCCCAGCTCCATGGGTGCCGCTGCATGCGAGTGCCCTAAGCTGCCAAGCTTGGTCTCACCTACATACATGTCTTTTTGTCCTTGAGAGCAAGATGGGGTAAGCGAAAAGAGAATTTTCCCACAGGGATCAATAAAGTGTCATTAAAATATATACGTACATACAAGTATATTAGGCAGGATTCAAGTGACATCTACCTTGCCAACACGCCAAGTAAGCAAACCAACCAGGCTAAATGACTGCTCATTTAAAACAATTCTTTCATTTAAAATGAGTAAAGAAAAAGTACCATTATTTTATATGGAAAATTGTTTTGAGCATCTCCCGACCGAATCTACCAAAAAATACTGAATCATTCCAACACATAAAACCTAAAATAACACTAACATATAGCAAAAGCAGGAATGAGATAATAAACAGCTATAAAGTAGAATGAATGTATATACAGTGCAGTTTCACTTACCAGAATCAATACAGTCATGCATTGTTTAATTACAGAGAAACATTCTGAGAAATGCATTGATAGGTAGATTGTGAGAAGATCATGGAGTATACTTACAGAACCCTAAATGGTACAGCCTACTACACATCTAGGCTATATGGTATAGCTGAAATAATGATTAAAAAGTACAGTAAAGTAAATACATAAACTAGCAACAATTATTATGTATTATGTACTGTACGTAATTGTATGTGCTTTGCTTTTATATGACTGGCAGCACAGTAGGTTTGTTTACACCAGCATCACCAATAACACGTAAATTATATGTTATGTGTTGCCTATTATATTACAACAGCTATGTCACTACGCAACAGGAATTTTTCAGCTACATCAAAAGTTTATGGGAATACCAACATATATGCGGTCCATAGTTGACTGAAATGTCATTATGAACATGACTGTATATCTCTAAATGCTAAATACTATTTTTACTTTTCTCCTTTTTTGTATAAAAGTGAAAATTATATTTGCAATTACTTCAATTAGTAAAAACAAGTGCAAATGTAGCCCTTTCGTAAAAGTGAAGTAAAGCGAACATTCATAAAGCAGTGTATAACTAAGGAGACAGATTTCTGTCTAAAGATTAAAGTAATTGTACATAAAAATGAGCTGCAAATCTAAAATCATATTTCCATGCCTGTAACTTACCCTATAAGCAAAGATTTTGCAAGAACATTTCTACTGTGCCAACAGATTCACACATTCAGTTTGCACTGCATGTTACACTCTAGGTTTACAGATTCTCGGTTTACGAGGGTAGTTGACACAGTTTGCAGAAGCTAATGTTCAATTTGTAGGTACAGGTATATAAATTTACATCTAAGGCAATCATACTTAAATGCCACAATGATTTTATAACTGGATGAAATGCAAATCCATATTCAGGGTTCCAAAATGTGCACCTGTGCCTGTCATTCAAGGTTTCACGAGTACAATCCTCATAGTACAATAATGAATCGCAATTTACAAATTTACAATGCTCAAGCTGTGATTACAAATCACAGTTGCATTTGGGACTTGTACAACATTGAGGAATCAATTGTTATGTGGGGAAAATTAGACTGCCAACGGCCAATAATTTTCAACAAAAACAAAAAATAAATCTCACTTTGATTTCGGATTTGCAATTCATTTTTTACGTGCGATTACACATAAATCATCTTCTGCTTTCAGCCCAGCCCCCTCAGTTCTCGGGAGCTCTCTTTTTAGGTTCTATTTTGCTCATGAGAACTTGAAGAGAACTAGTTCCCCACATAACTAGCCATTCATAAATGAAGTGCTGAAGTTGTAAATGTGGAAACTGAAATTCGTAATGACAACCTGAACATCATAAATTCCTAAATTACGATTTGTAAATACAAAATGAGGATTTTACTTGTGAAACTTAGGTGGTAGGCACAGGCACACATCTGCAACACACTTTCATTTTAAAAATAAAAGGGGTTCTGTGGATTTCCATTAGGTTCACAGTGTAAATAAAACAGCCCATGTTCCATGTTTTGCCTGCTGCAGAAATCATTGAAGGCATAACCCTTTTCTTGCTTGAGTTCGGCACAGTGGGCATGTCCAAGCTGATGAGGGGAGAATACCCTTAACTCAAACACACGTAACTTTTGAGGCTTAAGTGCTTCATGGGAGAATCGACCCCTAAATGAATAGGTACAGTTTCAAAGTTACATATCACAAAAATCATCTTTATTATTTTAAAGTTAGGATTCAGGTCCACTTTGATGTGATTGTGACTCTGCAAGCACGTCACAGGTAATATCCCAGTTGATAAAGTGTAAAATCCTGAATTGGGTGATGGACATGTCTGTGTCATTGACAAAGAATACGTGGTGAGTGTCTGATGGGAGACACCCCAAAAACTTTAGGAGCTTACTTTGAAATGGGTACCACTTCCAAAACATCCAAGCCCACTCTGGAGTTATGGTTCAGCTGCTTCACAAATCCACTGTCAACAATATACCTGCCCGACAAAAATAAAATCATCTTAAAAATCTATAATTATTTCTCCTCCAAAGTAGTTTGTCTCCCACCGCCAGAACAATGGTTATACCCTGACAATTAGGGGGGTAACGAGATCTCGTGTCACGTGATCTTGCGATATTACATGGCCGGAGTGCAAAGCGGTCTCGCGAAGGCGCTGCAAATCAGCTGATGTAAGCATGTCGCCGCCTGACGAAAATGCCCCAGACATTTTTAAATCTTTTGCGTGGCAGCATTTTGAGTACCCGGCGAAAAATATAAAATGCCAAAAGGTGACACGAACCATCTGTAAGCATTGTAGGAAAATAATGCCGTACACAGCGGCTAACGCTACTACTTTGCAAAGCCATTTGCAGCACCATCATAGCTCTACTTAAAATCCACTGCACCGGTGAAGAAAACATTAAAAAAATGTTTTATGTTTGTAATTTATATTGTTTTACTTATATTCTATTTTATGTTCAACTGAGTAGTCAAATACGAAAGAAGCCTGTCATTTGAGTCTGTGGTGAAATATTTTATGGTGCCAGATATTTGTTCTGTTCTTTACTGCATATGATTATGGTGATTATTTAAACCATTTCACTATACATCTGCATTATTTAGCATTTTTTGTCTTTCAAATTAATCAAATAAAAGACTGTTTTCCATTAATATATTTCCTCTTTGAAGTTTTCCTTAAAATATTGTTAAAATATCATCGTGTCGTTCCCGTGAATCCAATATTGTGTCTCTTCTCGTGGGCTGAGTATATCGTTACACCCCTACTGACAATTGTATAAAGAGGACTAGTTATTAACTGTACTCCACAAACATTCATGTGATTCACCTTATTCCACTAACAGTGGCTTCACTCACCGGATTCCTGGTATGGTCAATGATGTAGCTGCGATGTTGGTAGCCACAACACACTTTCTGACACCAGCCGGAGAAGACTGAAAGATCATCTGCTGCTGATCTGTAGGCAGGCATACAAATATCACTCTAATCACTACAGACACCAATCACTACAGTTTAAACTATTATTTTATCTAGATATGGGACTGTTGGAAATGACAGCACTGTATTCCCCGGACAGCCCCGACACCTGCACCCCCCCATCTAACCCTTACTCTCTACAACAGGGGTCTCCAACTCTGGTCCTGGAGAGCTACTATCCAGTAGGTTTTCTGTCCAACTTGGCTTCTGATGAGCCACACCTGTTCCTGGTATTTACCTGAGAACAGGTGTGGCTCATCAGAAGCCGAGTATGATAGGAAACCTACTGGACGGAAGCTCTCTAGGACCGGAGTCGGAGACCCCTGATATACAATTTCTAGAAGTACTGAATGAATCAACTGGAAATGAAAGCCCATAAATATATCCTAATTGTGACACATAACTCTGAAACTATACCTATTCATTTATTGCACAATGAACTTGCATGCCAATTTGCACAATCTTTCCCCACCAATTAGGTGGTTACCTGTATTTCTTTGTATATGTCGTAATTTATATTATATATATTTTAAACGTCTAAATATGTATAATCTATTTCTCAGGACTGGTATATATGGGGACTTGGAGTAGCCACAGAGAGTTGCTTTTTTTAATGGGTATGGTGTGCTACATCATACGCACAATTCAGTTTAACGTTCCCACAGAATACTAAACTGAGCTCATACAATACATAATATGTGCACATAATGTACGTTTTTATGCTGTCAATTTACCATTTTCAGCTCTCAAAGAAGCTGGAGAGAATTGAATGAATACCACGGGTTTTACGATATTAAATTTACTCAAATCTTTGTAATAATGCATGTCTCCCAATCCAATTTAGAGCAGATTAAATCTTATTCCGCTAGACCTGGCACCTGTCCAAACAAAGTTTAAACCAATTTTTTGGTAAAAATTAAATGTTATGGTCATCTTATTCTTAATACAGCACATGGTAATAAGCAATATATCCATACATCTGAGTCCATGTCTTTATATCTCAAGGTTTTCCCTCATATGTCTCCATTCCAAACTTCTACTCTCATACTTTTTTAATGGACATAAACTACGCTTTGTGGTCATTTACGTATCAGGTGGGTATTTTAACGAGTAGGTTACACAGCTCAACATTAATATTGTGCACTGCATTACATTACATACAAACCAAAGCACATATTTGGTTCCCTTTGCTGTCAGAGTTTTCAGCCTCATTGTATCCCCTAAATGCAAACACCTTTTCAGAATCTCATGGTTTTTTCTCACGGTGTTGTTGTGTTTGGGCAACTACAGATGCACCTTCTTACAGTATTTACATGAGATTAGCTGCAATCAACACAAACAATATTTAGCCTCTTTTGCTTAGAGTATACCACACTGCCTCCGCCAGCTTGCCTTCTTCCCATAATGCATCCTGGTGCCATCTCTTCCCCAATAAAAGACGCACACATACAAGGCCATCCACACAACGTAACAGTAAACATGACTCATCAGAACAGGCCACCTTCTACCATTGCTCCAGTTCAGATGCTGTTGTGCCCGTTGTAGGCGATTTCTGCAGTGGCCACTCTGACTGGTCTACGATACACTGCTCCATAAACAGCAAGCCGCAAGTAAATGTGTCTTCTGACATCTTCCTACCATAGCCAGCATTAACTTTTTCAGGAATTTGTGCTACAGTAATTCTCCCGTGGGATCACACTAGATGGGCTAACCTTCACTCTCCATGTGCATCAATGAACCTGGGGTGTCTATGGCCCTTTTTCCAGTTCAGTGGTTGGCCTTTCTTGGACCAGTTTGGTAGGTACTGACCTCTACCTACCAGGGAACACCCCGCAAGACCTGCCGTTTGGAGATGCTCTAACCCAGACATCTTGCCATCACAATTTGGCCATTATCAAAGTTGCTCATATGCCACTGCTTCTGCTTCAAATATATGAGCTCCAAGAACTGACTGTTCACTTGCCTAATATTTGGCAGGTGCTACTGAACAGAGAAAATCAGTGTTAATCACTTCACTTGTCAGTGGATTTAATGTTATGGCTGATCCATTTGGGAAATGCACTTAAATTGATTGAAATATTCAGAGAACGTCCAATCAAAGCATGTTTTAAAGAAGTCTTCTGCCCTCTTTTGGCCATTTGAGATATTTTTAGGTACAGTATGTGGACCTGTCAGCATTACTTCTTGACTGGTACAGCCAAACAAACTCTTTACAGGACAGCCAAATGTTTTTTTTCTAATGAAAATAAAAGGGTAATGCAACTGACATTAGAAAATAATGCTGTAAAGGTAAGGCAAAATACATATGTTTATTCATGAAAGGTCACTCATATAATACTTCACCTGTATTTCTTCTGAGGACAAGGAAACTGCAAAAGTCTAATTCTCATTGCCCTCACCTGTCGGCATGGATCCATATAAAGGCAGAATTAGAAGACCTTCCACAGAGCGATCATGGACATCATAGGGGTAGTGTATGGACTCAGCCCTCTCATAGAGCATGTCACAAGCTTTCTCAATCTCTGACTGTCCTGCTCAAAAGAAGCAAAAAAAATGTGCTAGTCAATATATATAAAACAGAATTCTATTGAAATTGGAAACTACTGCCAATGATGAAAAATATTAATGACTGGATTTTTCCACTATGCAGTACTAAGCTGCATATTCCCAAAAGTCTGGACAGTTATGTGACTATATACCCCTTTCTATAATGCCAGTTTATAAGCAAATGAAGCTTCCAGATTGCCCTGTAATTTTCTGAATTATGAAGAATTAAAGTACACAAAATGCTAATGAATCCCCTTATGTTTAGCTACTATTGATGTTACCCAAAACATTTCTCAAACATAACATTTCTGCAGTCTCCAGCCCAATAGAAAATCTGGTGTGGTGACTTACCAGTAAGAAAAACAAGAATATCCCCAGCTGGCTCACTGGTGTGTAGGTCTAGTGCCATCTTTACAACCTGAGAGGAAACAAAGACACGGATACATCAGACAGCATAGGGGCGGCTCAGCAGGTCAGGATTCTGTGCCTGTGATTGGACAGCTGCCAGTTCAAATCCTGTGGCTGACAGAATGAATAACATCACCACTGCTCCCCTGAGCAAGGCCCTTAACCCCAACTGCTACAGAGACTGGCCAAAGGCGTAAATCTGGGAGGGAGGGCAGGGGGTCAACCCCCATGAGGTTTGATCCATTGTCTGCTATCCTAAATCCTACTACCCACACATTAGACTGGCACGACTTCCCTTGATCCATGGTGGCTGACCACCAGTAAATACTTTCATTTAAAACAGCACATGTATCAAACACGTTTCTTTACTTGTATCTCTTAATAAAATAACACATATTTGCACTTGTAACCAGACTGCATATTTTTCGCTCCATTACCTCTTGGGTGGATCTTTAGCTTTATCAGCTTCAGATCAGTTAATGGGTATTGCTTGTATGTATTTTCCCATGGTGGGGAGTTGAGAAAATGTTCTTTTTAGTTATGCACTGACAAATTTGATCTGAATGATCAATCAGACTGAGTAGATTCTTAAGGTGACGATACACAGAACAACATTTTGAGCAATGATATCCAACAATTGCCAACCAGGTGACACAAAGGGCAACTTATCTTCATCTGGATGACCGTGAAAAGTTGCCCTCTGCCAATAAAAGTTTTTCAGATAGAAATTTATTGCCCAATATCAATGGCAAAGTGCCCAAGCAACATTGGTCTGCAACATTGCCTGGAAACATTGCTCAAAAAGCTGCCCATTGTATTTTCACCCTTAGAGTTCTGATTTAGTTTACATTGCATCTTAGCTGCCACTCCCAGTAAAACCTTATATCCTGCACCCAGCAGCCTTGTAACACGTTTTATTAATGTCTCACCTCCTTCACATAGACAGAGCTCTCTGTGTCTTTGGGGCCAATAAAATTGCAGAACATCTCCGACACAGGAAACATGCGCCCAGGAATGGTGAAGACCGGACAGTCTCCCAGAAAGACAGAAAGCTTATTTGTCTCCAATGTGGCCGACATCACCACAATCTTTGCAGGGACTTTGCGGCTTGAAGACTCCCCTCTGGCTTGCAGAAATTTATTTTTCAGCAGGCCCAACAGGATGTCCTGCAAGACAGGCAGGCAGAGTTCAACAAAATAGCGTGAAAAAATAAACCAGCAGAAAAACAAAAAATTAGTGACTTTTAAAAAATCTATTATACCAGCTGTTATACCACTCTCACCGTGTTCAAACTTCTCTCATGGACCTCGTCAAGAATCACCACACTGTACTGCTTCAGCTCAGGGTCGGCCAGGATCTCTCTCAGCAAGCAGCCATCAGTCATGTATTTAATGACTGTATCCTATAGAATGCAACAGAAACGAAACTTAAAATTCTAAAGTTCACTTGTAAGACAAAATTAGTAAACAGTATCCACTCTACTGACTGTCTATAGCATTGCATAAATAAATGCAACAGGAGAAGGACTCGTCTCCCACTATAGTTTTACCCAGTCTGGATAAATAAAATCAATGCCTGTTTCTCAAGTTTAGTTTTTCATAATCTAAGACACAAGAACAACCCAGGTATCTATTTCTATGCTATATTTCCAAGCAACTGAATGTCCCTTTGGAGTCTCACCTTGGATGTGCAGTCATCAAAGCGCACCTGATATCCCACCTCACTTCCAAGAGAACAGCCCAATTCCTGGGACACCCTTTGAGCCACAGTGATGGCAGCCACTCTCCGTGGCTGAGTGATGACAATCTTACCATGTTTACAAAAACCTTATGAAGGGGGAAACATTGATAGAGAACGTCAATTTTATGAATAAGTAATTAAGCGGCGGTTACCAGCATAACAGCTTGCAAAGTAAATACTGAATGGATAAACGGGTGTTTTACCGGCTTGATGAAGGTATTGTGGAAGCTGAGTGGTTTTACCGCTTCCAGTCTCTCCTGTAACAACCAAACACGAAGTATTTTTGATTGCCTGGACAAGTTTTTCCTTATGTTGATAAATGGGCAGCTTTTCAGTCTCCCAAAGTTTAACTTTGCGGTGCGATTGTTTACGTTCTGACATCGGTTTAACTGACAATCAAATATTAAATGAGAAAACCACTAAAGAACAACCAGGGAGGGTTTTCATCGCAAAAATACTAAAGTAAAACGTTTTACACTGCACATCAATAAATAAATGGCTTCCAAATTGCCGACGTAAAAATGCAATAAATTAGCTGTATGTTCAGCTGTATGTTCTATGTTTTAGTAATAAATATTTCACTAAAACAGATCATGTAACATAAACGAATTACAGTTACAGCACACCAGACTACAGTTCTTCCGTATTTCTCTAATCAATTCCGGAGGTAGCCGGAAGTAGATATGGGACACATCGCGAGATTTTACTCTTAACGTATAACTGCGTGTACACGATTTCCAGCAAAAACGCTCCCATGCAGTTGTGTCGAAATCATAGCTGCGATTAAGCATTGGGTGACGTGGAGCGAGATGCAGGGGTGGAGTATAAACTGACTGCAGCCAAGTCCGACAATTTCTACTCCTCATAGTGTGAGAGACCTGACTGCAATAGCCGCACTGCCAGAAAGTTGTAGATAAATCTACACAAATATCACCTGCATGCACATTACTTCTTTTACAATAACCAACTCCTGATCCAAACTGTTAGCAGTGAAAAAAATAAACTATTGTGTATAGTGACCCTGTGTAAAAAGATAGCTGCCAGGAAAAAGATCAAATACATTTACTTCAAGGATTCAAAGTTTTTATTGTCACGTACAGAGTCCAATGTAATTCTTAATTGAATGCCTACTTCAAAACCAAAAATCAAATTTCCTGGAGATGTTCATGACATTATGATCTTCTGATTTTTTTGTTATTGAATTTTTAATAATTTAATCGGTTATTACATAGTAATTATTCATATGGGGATGGAATATTATTTGTTCAATCTATAGAGCTGGACAATAGCTTTAAAACAATATAAGGACCACTTCTGTGCAGCTTACATTAAGGTACTGTAAATATACCCCCCCCCCCCCCCAAAAAAAAAAACTTTCTTTGCTTAAATCTCCCTCAATATTGATCCCACACATGCCCAATTTCGGTTTCATGAGTTGCTAATTATAAAATCCGTGACGATGAGGTCCGAAAGTGTGATGATTTGACATGGAATGATCCATACAGTATATGTACCTCCCCTATTATTTTGTCAGTCATTGTAAGTGTTGTGGTCGCTGAATGTGTGTACTGTTAGTTGGTCCTCGCTATCTGCCCTGTTTGGAGCCTGTGTTATTCCTCTGTTGTATGAAATGAATGAAATGGTTACTGGTTTCACAGTAAACGCGCTTTGAAGTGTCCTCCAACATCAACAAAAGATAGCAACAGTCTTCCAAACACAAGTGTGCAGGCACAGTATGCAACGTGGGATGCCATGGTTTGTCTGTTTAACTTGCTAACAGCTTGTCAATAATGTACACTGAAGCTTTCAGTCTTGCCTCTTCTTGTAAGAACACTACAAGTTGCCAGTGGTGCAATGGAGACAGTGTGCATGTCGATACTTTTGGGCACTTTTTTTTTTTAGCTGAATACCCATAAATAGTTGAACTCTTACGAGATGAGAGGTCATTGTCAGAGTGTCCACTGTCAACTCCCTCAATGCAAATGTTACTCACCTTACTCAGCAAGAGCACTGCCAAGTTTCTGGTAGTAAACAATAAACAAAAATTGACCAAGTCACCAAAATGTCCTGAATATAGTTAATGACTGTATAAATATAAAATTTGAAGTTGAAAAAGATGGGACACTTTTTTTTGAAAGACCTGTGTGTATGTTGATGCTTCCATGCCCCGCTCTCGCCAGTGTGGGGAAGCAATAAAAAAAGCCAATAGGATGTTGGGTTACATCTCTAGGTGTGTGGAGTTTAACTCAAGGGAGGTGATACTATGATTATACAATTCATTGGTAAGACCCCACCTAGAATACTGTGTGCTGGTTTGGTCACCATACCTTAAAAAGGACATTGCTGCCATGGAAAGGGTGCAACGTAGGGCTACAAGAATGATTCCTGGTCTCAGAGGAATGTCTTATGAGGAGAGGTTAGCGGAACTGAATCTGTTTAGCCTTGAGCAAAGGAGACTATGATCCAGGTCTACATGATCCAGGTCAATAAGATTCTAACAGGTCTGGATGCTGTTCAGCAAAATGGCTATTTCAATATTAGTTTAAATACTAGAACTCCTGGCCATAAATGGAAATTAGTGGGAGAACATTTTAAAATGAATTTGCGAAAGCACTTCTTTACACGCCGAGTAGTTAGAGTATGGAATAATCTTCCTGTTAGTGTAGCGCAAGCAAAAACCCTGCAGTCCTTTAAATCAAAGCTAGATATGATTTTAACAACTCTGAGCTATTAGTTAAGTTCCCCCCAAATGAGCTTGATGGGCCGAATGGCCTCCTCTCGTTTGTAAATTTCTTATGTTCTTATGTTGTGCGTGTGACTTCTCACATGGCCTCCTTGGGGTAACACCACATAGTTCTATATTTATATCTGAACTTTGGAATATTGGAGATAGTGTTTTGCCATTTTCCTTACATGCACACATCAAATTCATGCAACAGTAGGCCAGTTTAAAGCAGCGGTGTAGTGGGTATTTTTTAAGTGGGGAAAAACTATTTCAATTACATCATCACAAAGAATGCCGCACATGCATGCAGAAACACACTGTAGTACACTTAAAATAATGCGGGGCTTAAGTTTGCTGCCTACAGTAGGTGCAGCATTTCAAATTGTTAGCAATTCTTGCACATCCCTTGATTTCACAGATTACTTGCTGGCGAATTGTAATTGACATTGTAATTGACAGTCACATCCTTTAAAGTGGGAAGGTGATTTAACCCTTACAGCCAGCAGTGAGAATGGCATCTAACCAGAGAACTGTGCAACTCACACGGAGACAGTATTTGACACATGAGAAGCAAAGAAGCTTGTTTAGACTAAATGTTGTTTTTCAAATGTCCCTGAAATATTGTTAGGGTTAGTGGTTCTCAAACTGTGGGGTGCAAGATGATTTTCTGAATATTTTGATACCGGACAGTCCAATAGTCAGGGAGCAAAATTTATCATGGGGAGCTGAGTGAAATTGTCATGGAATTTAATCATCTCACTTAGCCCTAGTTCTAGTCAGTGGTAACTTACGAAAGAACAAGCACATATCTGGTGAACCTGATTATTTTGAAAAAAGTCACACAAAGTCTGGTTTTCAGTAAAGACTGATTTTGGAGAAGTGTGGAGAGTATGTAGCCTAGGCTTTGGCAGTATTACAGTAATATTCTCAGTATATTTTTGTTCAGCAAAATTTAGGGATTAGACAGGTGGGGGAGGGGTGACGGGCCAGTCCAGGGAATACATTGTAGTTGTCCTGAAACCTTTTGTCTGGTAAAGTGTTTTATGTTGAGAGGGTCTAGCTACCATCTGTCTCCAGTGAAGGAATTTTAAAAATAATTACGACAGTATCTCAATACCCCTGGAATGTATCCATCAGTCCAACAAGAGAACTTAATGCTGAAACAAAGTGAATGTTTATCTATGGTCCACTGTAAGGTTGAGTTATAAGAACTGTTGTATATTTGTTATACACTCATGAGCCATTTCGTTTAGCATCACCAGGACACCCGCTTATTCATACAAATATCTAATGAGCCAATAATGTGGCAGCAGCTCACTGCATACAATCAACAGACAAAGGTTGGGAGCTTCAGTTAATGGCCAGATCAAACCACAGAATGGGGAAATACCTGATCTGAGTGACTTTGACCTTGGCATGGTCTTTGGTGCCAGATGGGGTGGTTTGACTATTTCAGAAACTGCTGGGACTTTCACACACATCGCTCTCTTAAGTTTACACAGAATAGTATAAGAAGCAAAAACATTCAGAGAGCAGCTGTTCTATTGAAAAAATGCCTTTTTGATGAGAGCAGTCAGAAGAGAATGGCCAGACTGGTTCAAGCCAAAAGGAAGAAACAGTAACTCAAAAAAATCAGTCTTTATAATGGAGACAAACAGAACAGCATCTGAGAACACACAACATTCAAACCTTGTGGTGGATTGGCTACAACAGCAGAAGACCACATTGGTTTCCAATCCTGTTAGGTTAAGAACAGCAGTGTTTCTAGCATCTTGTCTATTTCAGTCTATGACTCAAAGAATTCAGACTGTTCTCAGAATAAACCCAGTTTTAGAATGGTGTTCTTAACGAAGTGGCCAGTGAGTGTAGCTATAACTCGTTACATAACTTCGATATCACGCTTTTTACATTATCTTTTATTTGGAAACCACTGCTATGCACATTAAGTATAACTTCAGCATCTTACCTTATAAAAAATCCATGATATGAAATTCTAAATTATAAATATTCAGTAGCCCCAGTAGTTACAAATGTTCAGATTGAGCTAAAATATAGTTGCAGCCCCTCACTTAGTAGCAGCAGTTACAATATTGTTATTTGTCATCTAGATTGTTCCAGTTCAACGGAAACCATTCTGTTGTCACACAGATGCATCAGCACAGGAAACTACTGTAGGTTAAAGAAAGACACAACTCTTTCAGAACAGCCTCTGTTTTATCTTCCTGTTAGAATAGGTATTGTTTTTCTATACAATAGCTATATATAGATGTGAGAAAATTGTTACTTCAAAAGAAAGGAAATTAAAGAAATATTTGCACAAGCTTCGGCCCTTAAAGCTACTTTCTTTAAACTTTCAATTACTTGAAATTTTATAACTTTAAATTATATTTATTTATTTGGCCACAGCAGAGGTGAATATTAGCTACCCACTAAGCCACTGTGCCACCCATGGAAAAATCTAAAAATACCAGCAATGACAAGCCAGCCAAAAACAAAAGTTCACTGTGCCTCATTTTGCATTATGTGACCTACTGGTATTCAGCAGTGAAATCCTTTTAATGCTTTAGTTATCTGTGCTTCAGTGCTCAGCGCTTGAATGACATGAAGACTGGGAGAGAGCTGGGGTTCCGCTGGTAGGAATTCAATAATAAATATACTGTAGAGTGCAGACTGTAGCTGCAAAGCACAGTATCAGACTGAGTTAATAGATGCAGCCACTCTTTTAGTAGCTGAAGAGTTTCATACTTATTTTTGATCTATAGTTATGCAGATGATCAGAATCAATACTATAGTTACATGCATCAGAACAAGAAAGAGCTTTTTTTTTGCAGCAGCAGCAGTAAATAGATTCATCAGCTAATAAGATGATGAAGCTAGAGGTGTATTTAGTGTTTCTGCCCTATGAAATCAAGCAAGTTAATGTTTGGTGAATAAACAAATGAAAAGTACAAAATTCCACTGATAGTGTGTACATGAAGATCAGCCATAGACATGTTTTAGGGACACTATCTCCAATATTCCAAAATATTTAAATGACTAAACGAAAAGAACCGTTCTTATGCTACTTGTGTATCTGATGATTTTTTTTTTCAGAGGTGTAAACAGTTTGTTGGAAACAAGTCGGCATTACGGAAATGACATAAACCACTGTGATTCAAAGGTGGTGCAAGTGCAGTCACATACAAGCTGAATGCTCTTAGTTGAACCAGTCTCTTTGTGTTTTATTGATATATATCTGCATTCGGAGACATGCTGTTCAAAATTCAGATTTGGGCCTGGTCGATCTTACTGTATTGTAACATTCCAGCTTCATGCGGTAAGTCCATCTGCACTTATGGATATATAAATTCACAGGTTTAATATTAAATGTTACAAAATATGCCTAATCTGTCACCTTCCTTAACATTAAACTAAATTTGATTCCATATAATAATAAATGTTTTTGCTTTTTCTTTTTTTGCCTGCTCAGGTCATAGCAGATGTAACAAGGCATGTGAGATTACTGCGTTGGTCAAGGGTACCATTAACTCTGCTGTCCTACTGCCATGCAACATAACCGTGAACCACATTCAAACTGTGATGTGGAGCCACGCCGCTGATTTAGTTACAATCAGAACACATGGATATGTCAATTTCTCGGATAACCGAGGGGGCAGAGTGAAGACGTTTCCCTACTTGTCCAACAAAGGAAATTTCTCGATCCGACTGGAACATCTCCAGCAGTCCGACCTGGGAATTTACTGCTGTGAGGTACAGCATGAATCATTATCTGCCTGCAACAAAGTGAACGTTACTCTGGATGTGCAAAAACATTTAGAAGAAAACCTAAAAGGTAAGAACACGCATTTGTGATATTAAAGCTTTTCCATATTTGATACAGTGATAGACAACATGTTGGATACCTTGCTACCTGAATTTAATATTATGCTATTTACACTACTATACCTTTTACTTGGAAACTATGTGCATTAAATATGCATTCGTGCAAAATGTTATTTTGCAGAAGCTATTTGTATAAGAATAATTCACCATGGCCTAATAATGGATGCAGTGCCATACTTAAATTGGCCTATTATTCTAGTAACTTTGTACTTCGACTGAGTATAAACAATATTAGTAACTGTCACTTTCTACTGAACTAAAATTGTAAAAGATTTCTGTACAATTTTTATTGACAAGAGTCTTTACTTGTTACTTTTTGACTGGCTAACCTAATTTTGCCTACTGTAGCATAGGGAAAAAAATAATACAAAAGTACAAAGTAATAATACAAATTACAAGTAATACAAAATACAAAATGAAACATCAGCCTGACCACTAGCACAGATAGGTCTATTAACAGAATTTCTAAGATCAAGCCCAACTTAAACCCAATGCCAACTTTTACAATGTGATGTGGTGTACGCTCAAGCATGCAAAGGCACACATAATTAGCACAGGGGCACATGGTCTTACATAGGAGTGTAACAATACATCGATTTGTATTGATATACCGATTCAATGGCAAACGATCCGATACATCGATATGACCGCATAAATATCGATACATGCGTTTTTATTTTCTCGCCTGTTCCAGTATTGTTTTCCTGATCCAATACATGTTCTACACCAGGGGTGCCCAATACATCGATCGCGATCTACTGGTCGATCGCAAAGGTAGTGTTCAACCGCGCCAGCTGCTGCAAGCTACCGAGTCGCCTAGTTAGCCTCCAATTTATTTATACTAAACTTAAGAAAGGGTATAAAAATGAATGGGGGAACCGAACCAAGTAAGAAGCCAAAAACCTACCACTTCCATACGGATTTTTTTTTTCACCATGACATATTCAAAGTGCATTTGCCTCATCTGTCAGTCTACCATTGCTATTCCGAAGAAGGGAAATGTGGAGCAGCATTTTCGGACTGTTCATAAAAACTACGACATTAACTTCCCTCCAAAACGCGAGCTGAGAAATAAAAAGGTGAAGGAACTAAAATCCCAGTTCAATTCAAAAATACTTTATTCATCCAAAATGGGAATTAATAATAATAATAGTAATAATAATAATAAATATTAAAGAATACTCAATATTTTTATAGATAAATATATGTTTTGCATTTTTATAGTTGGTCGATCATTTTGACCTGGTCATTTAATTATAAGTAGCTTGCAAGCTAGCGTACCTTCAGAGCGTGTGTTTAGTACAGCAGGTGACATAGGAGGCTATGCTCAGAGCACACAATCTCCTGAACACGTTGACCATTTAATTTTTCTTTAAAAAAAACAAAAAACCTCTCAAAGAAGAATACTGACATACTTGTTTCACCGCAGAAGTCAGTCATGTTGATCTTCCTCATTGTACATGTCTGTCCATGCAATGTTTTTTATTTGACTTTATTGCACTTTTTATTTTACTTATTATTGTTGTATCCCAGCGTAGGGCGAGCAAACAGGGAACGAGGAATCAGGGTCAGGCAGATGGAAATCCAACAAACGGGGTGGGGGGGGTTTATTGCAAGCACAGCACACAACACAGGGAAAACTTCAATGACAGATCTTGGCGACAGACTCTGATGTGGACTTAAGTACACAGGACTAGACGAAACAATAAGAAACAGCTGGGAACAATCAGGATTGCACACGAAGTTAATGAGAGGCGTAGCACAGGAGAGGGTCATACGAGCAGGTCATGACAGTTATGGACATACTTTTTGTTACACTTTTGTATTTGTCTGGAGAAGACTCGATTAAAAAAAAAAAAGTTTTTATTGTTACCTTATTGCACTTTATTTTGCTTGATTTATGGGACATACGTGACTACACTAGATTTTGTTTACAGTTCCCAATAAAATATGATAAAATGCTAATTATATTTGCCTTTTTTAATTCATTGAAATGTAAAGGATTGTGTGACATTTCATCATTTCGACTACTATCAACAGTATCGAACTGAATCGTATCGTGGGAATTTCTGAGGTATCAAAAAAAACCATTGGCTTAAGGAATCGATATTGTATCGTATCGCGAGGAAAGCTGTGATTTACACACAAGTATAATAAAAGTATAACAAACAGCCAATTAGTGTCCTGACATAACAAATACAAAATAAAGTCATGACACTACAAGCTACAATGAGCCAGAGCCAGAGGTAGGGTTGCCAACTCCACCTGACTGTAATCTCTGACATATTTTTTTGGTGATGGGGGAGGGGGAAGGTGCATAAGGAGGGGTGTCAAATGATTAATCACTATTAATCTTAAACCTCATCAGTGGTTCTATCTTTACATAAGCTCAGATATAATATTTAGATGAATTTACATAAGCCTACATTTAATACCAGCTAAATACTTTTGATACTTTATTGTTAGTATCAGACTTTTACTAAAGTGATATTTAATGGGTGACTTTTAAGTCTTACCAGACTCATTTTCCTCAAGGATGGTTTTCAGATACTCTATGCACTACTGCTAGGATGCAGTTGAAATACCCAGGTAATTGTGTGGCTTGGTCTGCAAATTTCTTTTCGGCCTGGTGTCTCTCAATAATGTTGATGTGAACCCTTTGCTGTCTCTTGCTCCATCGCAGGGAGCTCTGTGAAGCGCTTCTTGGAAGGCAACTGGTACTATATTGTCGCTGCTGGAGTCCTCCTCATTGCCCTTGTCGTCATCGTCTGTGCCTGCCACATGAAGAGAAGAAGTAAGCACATGCACTCATTGTTTTCTCATTCTGTGAAAGGCTATAATCTTGTATCTCTCTTTTTAAGAAATTAATTTTATTGTGATCCTAATTAACTGTGACCCTCATTTGGATAAGCAGTGGTTATGAGTGAGTGGGTGGATGAATCGATGGATGGATGAATCGATGAATGGATGGATGATGGAAGCTGTTGCAAGAGACAATAAGGTGAGACTGAAAAACAGTTCTACGTTTTCCCATTTTTAGGTGAACCTGATGATGCTGATTATGTCAATGAAGGCTACACTGGAAGTTGGGATCTCTATACATCTTTTAATAAATTTAAGCTTATAAACCCTAATCCTATACTTTTTGCAGTTTTGTAAATTTTGTAAATTGCAGTTTATTTTAAAAATTATGTTTTTGACTTACACCTACTATAGATTTAATTACTTTAATTGAGGCTTGAGCCATGTGGAATAATATAATTTGGGTGCCAAGGGAATATTTTATAGTATGTCTAATGGGAAAAACCTTTTGGGTTTTCAAACCCTCATAATTTAATTTTTTTGTGGTCTTCTAGGCAATGAGCCAATGGATACGGTATGTGGCCAGATGGATGGGGAAGCCATGAAACAAAAGTCAGGTACACCTGTTTAACATAACAAAATACTTTTCATTTAGATTTTTTCTTTTAATTCATGAAATACAGCCACAGGAAACATTAAGAATCTACAGCACACACGCACACACACATACACACACACATTGCAGCCTGGTTCTTCTCTGTTTCTCATTAATGAAGGGCTTCTTCCTTATTTTCTGGGACTTCATCCCTGCTTCTTGGAGCCTGACACAAACTCTCCTATCAGTGCACTTCACACCTGCACTTAATGTTTCCCATTCCTTTTGAAGGTCACTTGATGTCATCCTGTGATTTGTGAGAAACTGTCAGATAGGTTAACAGTCATCTCTGGTATTAGAAAGTCACTTCTGCCCTTTAACTGCCTGGTTTCTCGTCATTCGCAGTGTCTCCTGCTTCACCTAATTCTTGTATACTGGTGTCCTAGAAATTTTTAACCTTGATGCAACCTGCTGCTCAGCATAGCCTTCTGCCAGCAGAACCACAATTAAACCAGGATATAAAAATGCACATTTGTTTAAAAATATGGTGGTCTTTTAATTTTTTTTCTGCGGCTGTAGATATTCATTATACATGCAAAGTTTTTATCTGTACATTTAATACATGCTTGTACTCTATCATTATCAACTTTGTCTTCAAGTCACTTTCTCTTTTGGTCCCTTAGAAAATCAACTGCAGAGTTCTGATGTACAGCAAAGTGGTACAGTCATTTTTATTTAAAACACTACCAGAACATATTCTCATCATAATGTTATAAAACATGAGCTTCCAGCTATGGCCCTCAAATTATGCCAAATTAATCATTTTGCATCGCTTAAAATAATTATTTTAGTTTGAATTCACTTCACCTGCTGAAAACAATAGGACTCTTGCCCTCACTTCTTAGGGTATTGGGATATCCTATTATAAAGCAGGAAATTGGCTGTATAATGCATCTGTATAATAGAGTAAAAACTTTGACATAATGTTAATAGCATTGAATGCATAACCACCAGCATTGAACCAAGATCCATTTAAGTGGCATTTTCACTTCCTTTTTTACTGCATTTCATGAAAAAACTGACATTATATGTTTCATTTTAAACAGGAAATCCAGTAACCATTTATGGTATGTATAAACAAGGTTACACATGAATATACATTCATAGGCTTATATTTAACTCAGTTTGTGGCTAGTGTTGATTGATACTGTTTATGACACAGAGAAACCTGTTCTCACTTACTTCCGATTAGTGTTATAGGTCTTCGTCTTGTCTCGGAATCGAATGTATTTTGACTCGGACTTGTCTCGGTCTCGGACATAGAGGACAAAGACCGATTCCGTGTTTGTCAGTCACGTGTCTGCACTGACACGCCCCCATTCGCCATTTTGAGTGTACGCGGATGTAAACACATTTGGTTAACAAACTTAATATTTCATATTCAGTGTTTTTTTCTCCACAAAAATGTAATGTTTTATGTAATCAGCAATAAGCAATTTTCATTACCAAAACACACTAGTCATTTAAGTGTTTAGGAAAGGAAAAAAGAACACCACAAAAAATGTTATTTTACATATGACCAATAAAGTTAAGTGGCAAGCAGAATACAGGCTCGGTATACGATGAGTTTATACAATTTATAATCCATGCACGCGAATATACACATACATGCACTGATAAACGTGTCATTACAGTTTTGTTGTTTACGTTTGTCTTTTAAAAGCATTCACTCTATAACGTCACAGGAACTGTGGCAGCTTGGATCAAAAACTGGCTA